TTGGAATTTTTATTTCCTATATGTATAGGTAATAGCATGGTTTCAAGTGCAATTTGGATTGGTTTCGAGTGCATGTTTATCCAAATTTCACGAGAAACCATGCTATTACTTATTACACCCGTTTTCAAAATTACGCGACCAAGGACGAAAATGCTCGAATTGACATGTCAGTTTTATGTCATTCGGTCAAGAAGTTTAAACTTTGAGTTTTGCGGTTCCTTGTCGATGTATATGCTTTGTATGTTTTATATAAACAGGCTTAGAATGATTTTCAAGATATTTTAGTGAAAATTATTGCAAAATTTAAGCACAAATAAAATTATAACATCACCGTTATAGTCTAGCGCGTGTGTTTTATACTTACAGCTAAATTCCAGGATAAATTGTTATCTTTTAAACTTTAAAAGTTATTCACGGCACATATTTCTGTTGTGATGGTTTGTATTGTGCTTTAGTTTGTATATCTAAGTTATCTAACTCATTTTTGTTCAGTTTTGGTATTAAATACGGTTTAAAATGTCTTTTGACAGTTTGTTTACGTTTGCTATTTTTAGCAGTTTTTGTGACATAAAACTGACATTTGAAGTAAGAGTATTTTTCAGGGAGGTCGCGTAATTTTGAAAACGGGTGTAATAATTTACATAAAAATGTTCAAGACAATTGTAGTTTTAACTTACGCGTTTATAGCGAACATTTCACTGGCAAAGTTTTCCTGGCTTTGTTTTATCACATTATACAACGCTAACAGCTTGAAAATTCCACTCAACTGTGTATTTTTTGTTAGTCTTGTTTAAGGTAAATGCTTTTCCATTTAAGATGGTTTGATGTATAATAACTTCTAAACAAGTAAAGCTATCAAACAGAAATAACTTGCATTAAATAGAGGAAGGACTAACTTAGATTTTGATATATTACCAGAGGCGGATCCAGACCAATGCCAGCGATGCGAATGCATCGGTCAAAATTGAGAAATCATGATTCATGTTGCTTGAAATATATAGATATAATTCGCCAATAGTCAAAGCACACAGTAATAAAATATCTTCTATCAACCCGCAAATCTTTGCTTAAAACTGACTCCATGTCAGAAATACACCATTTAGGATGAAATCCAATTTAAACAGTCTCAATAACAGTCGAAATTGTCAAAATAAGTCCAACATACGACGTTGCGAATTGCGATCGCAAATGTGTACTTTCTGTTGTTTTGCGACACTTAAGCGTCAATATTTTTGCGACAAAATTTTTTTTTTTACCGCATCCTTGACGTCACAGTTGAAGCAAAATGCATCACCTGCGTCACGTTAGATTCGATTGGCATCCATTTTGCATCAGTGAATGCATCGGTCCCAAGTCCTTTTCCGCGTGAAATCTAACGTGACATCATCAAATCTATTGTTTTAGAGCCCTACGTCACGTTCGATTTGGCCGCTGAGCGATGCATCGCATGCAGATTGCGGGCGCTTGCATCGGTCCACTGATGCAAATTGCAAAATCAAATCTACTGTGATGTAACGAGGCATTCGATTCAAGTCATGGCGGCAAGGGTATTTGGATATGCAAACACTATATGCAAATGGATGGACAAATAATGCGAAGAGAAATCCCTCGAAATTGACGGAGAACATATAATTTACAGTCGAACCAATTACTACCAAGTGGAAGAATTGAAGGGATCTTATGCCCACGATGTGAAACTCGATCGAAATGAGGGCTCGAATTAAGTAAGTTAAATTTCTCTATATTTTTACAAATGGTAGTAAATTACTAAATTGTTCAGTTCAAGAAGTGTGTAAAGTGGAAAATGGGGTCCTGCACAATTAATATAGATTTGTATGTAATAACAAAATAATTACAGTTTGTGTCTATTACTGTTGTTGCTCTACATTCCAGAAAGACCAGAAAGATGTTAGTGGTTGGGGGGGGGGGTAGATTTTTACATTTTACAGAGGTTTGCTTGTCTGGAGCCAAACTAGCCCCAATACAAACTTGACAGCTTGCTTTACTGAGGCAAATTTCATCTCTGTTTACATGGGATTATATCCTGTGCTCAGACCTTCATTTTTCTCACAGCTGGCGGGCAAAGAAAAATGAAGACCTGATACACATGTTATTATGTTTGTGTCCTACAACTGCCTTTATTGTTGTGACTCCGATTGGCTATTTCTAGCATGAGTATTCATGCCATATTTAATGTATTGTTTTGATAATTGGTTAATGCTATAATTAAATAATGATATATTTAGTGATTGTAACTATATTTAGCTTGTTGTTATGTGAAATTGACATTCTGGCACATTTTGATTGGATACCAAAAATAAAACTATAGTGTGGGTGGAAAGTAACTCTGAATGGATCAAGACTTGCATCAGTCTCTGTATGTAATTACAGAGCATAATTGCAGGTTAATGAGATTTCTAATAGTAATTAATGCAACATTGGTTAGAAGACTAAGGGGGAGTTTACATGAAAGGTAATTGTTTCAAGTTGCAACTTCCAGTGGTATCTCCTATTTCATTTTCATTTTATATGGAAATGAGCTGGCATGCCTTGTGACGGGGTCTTTCTTTGCATTGCCTGAGTTATTGGGCAATTACTATACACTAGCTGGATATTTTGCAAACAAAGATGATTACCTGGGTTTGCTCGCCTACCATAGTTGAGTGTTTATATGCTTTGTCTGTGCAAATATAATTTGATATAAGCTGTATATATCATATGACATTTTCCTGACAGATTTAATCTTAGAACCAATGATAAAATGATGGACGGTATAAATACTGTATATACTGTAACTGGTGTATACAGGTTATAATTATGAAATTTGCTCACAAAAGTGGGATAGTTTGGAAAATATATTTAATTAAATTATATATTTGTAATGCTAATTATCCCAGTATTATGTTTTGGATAGCCAGCATGCCACCCTGAGGATTACGATTACCATTGATAAGTGTATGGATATATTTGACAAGATAATATAGGGAAAATTAAATATTCATCAATACTACCGTGCAACCTTTCTTAAAGGAGCACTGTATTAATATTAGTTGAAAGGCAGGCAAAAGGGGACAGATAGAAGACATATGATTAAATTATGTCATGTTTATCATTGTACAGTTTGGTATTGGTTTATTTAACAAACAATTTCCAATTAAGATAGCTTCATTAAATTAATTTACACACAGTCTCTATTGATTTAAAACGTGTGTGTACCTAGTTATTTATTTATATAATTTTAAACCCAGTGTTTGTTGTGTGTTAGTTTACTGGTTTCCTCGCCACAAGGCAATATTCTCAGTATTCAGAGTGTGGGCTATTCACCATGCAGTTCATCTGAAAGGCAGCTAGCCTAGGGGCAAATGAAATTGACCAGCTGATGCCAACCACACTGTCCATGCAGAGTAAGATTAGCAGCATAAGACAGAGTTGCATATATTTACCCAGTAAAGCACAAAATACCTTTAATCTTTATGCACCATGATATGTTATTTTACTTTAAATTCTAATGCTAGAAGATTTTACTCATGGAACATTGGAAATTAATAGGGGAAGGTGGTTCATAAACAACATAATAACACTGTCTTCTGAGTCCAGCAATGAAACTAGTGGAGCACACTGTATACACCTTTGTTACACAGTATGTGTGTATTTGCGTTGTCGTGATTTTCTGCCGAAATGTTTTTCAATAGAAAAGTTAAGGCTACAAGAAGCACAGTACTGACTATTTTTTAATAGAGACTTATTGCCACTGCTGCTATTACACTTGTACAAGCAAAAATTTTTTTCTTATGTGGAGAAATTATGTTTTTTTTGCGATATAGGTTCAAGTTTTTTACGTGTTTTTCCAAAAATGCAGCAAAATTTTTGTGACTCTGATATAGGAATTGCAACAAAAGAGTTCGCTCAGAACGCAGGAAATCGCATTTCCGAGGTCCTAGATTTCAAAATTTCCCGGGGAAGGATACCCCCGGACCCCCCTACAAATGCGAGGTCTTATGTATGCATCAGTCAGCTCAGGAGCTGGATCCGCCCCTGACAATAAGATCGACGATGGCTTACCTGAAAAAGATACCTTAAAACGAGGGTCATTGCAAGTCTAAATATAGTATCGGCAAAAAGCTGCTACCCATGTGAAGAATACTAATTATATGCTATTTCTTAGTTTCTTGCTCAGCTTGGGAGATCTTAAAGAATGCAATTATAAGAGATGCGCTATTTCTATCATGATGAAATTCTCTATACTATCGTCTGCACTGTTTAAATATGCTCTAGCGTCAATAACCCATAAAATGCATCTATAGTGGCATGTCCATATCCTGTTTTCGACAAAATTTATTGTATTTTGGTGCTTTTTTTCTCCAAACTACGGTTGAATAAATGGTTTCTCAGATGTGTAGATAGTATTCAATGTTACACTGCCGTGGCTTGTTTCTGAAGACGTGTGATATACTGTAGGTAGCCTAGTATTGGCTAAAAAAAGCTGCGCCGGTTTGTATGTAAATTATCTGAACAACATATGGTGCAGTTGAAGTGTAGGTAGTATTCTACATCAAGCTGTCGTGCGTTGTGGTTGAACAATGACAAGTTATCTGTTCAGGCTATTTCAGACACAAATTGCGACAGCTGATGGTAGAACACTATCTATCCTGAACCTTGCGCCGGTTTGAGATCATTGTATTGGGTTGTAGACAATAATCTCTGCGATCGCCTTTTGGACGATGTTTATTTACGTTTCGTTAGAGCATGCGCAGGAGAGCTAAGATGGCGTGCGAAGGAAAACAGTGTTTGACCTAAATTTACTATTTTGTAATTTTCCATATATTTTGATAATTAAAGTGAGTTGAAACCTGTTTTTCGGCCCCATTTACTGGCAATCCCAGTACAGTAAAACACTAACGTTCGCTGTGGCATTCCAGAATTGTGAAGAAGCCTAAATACAAAGGAGTTTTGCAGCCCAAAACTTGTGTATTGCTTGAAGACAAATCCAGGAATCAGCCATGAATGTTGAAGATAAAAAACAAGAAAGAAGCATGGTTAAAATGGTGGTCACTGTCGCTGCGAGGCGTCTGATCGGAGCCTACAACAGAGATTGTGAATATGATATTTTAAAGGATTCAATGTTCGAACTTGAAAAGCTATTTGATGAATTTTGCGTTATAAATGAGGAATACGAACTCATTGTATCTGACGAAAAATACGCTGAACACCGTGTAGTTAATGGTGAAGACATTAGGACTTACAGAGACAATATAAAAAGGTGCTATGAAGAAGCTAGGAGTGTATTTGTTAGTGTAAAGACAACAATCGAACAAAAAGCTAGACAACAAAGTGCTGGGCCTGTCAAAGTTTTCCTAGAGAATGACATTTGTAGAATTCATGAACTAATCACAGTCGTTGATGAGAGTTTTAAATTGGATAATGTGAATATGGCAGCTTTACAACCAGATAAGAGTGATCTACAGTCAATTTTGAACATAATATGTGACAACATGGCAAAACTTGGCTCGATTGAAACACAAGAGGAAGTTAACCTAATCCAAGAAGAAGTCGATGCTATTATCAGAGCAGTTTACAATTGCATCAGAAAGATAAACTTGTTTTTGCATGAGCAACAAGCATTTGTTAAATCATTACACATTGAAAATTCCACTTTCCCCTCTGAAACCAACACCCCCCTGAGAACACTGAGACCATCAACACCGTGTCCCCCCCGGAGATCAACACCAACATCCCCCCTGAGGACACTGAGACCATCAACACCATGTCTCCCCCCGGAAATCAACACCAACACCCCCCTGAGAACACTGAGACCATCAACACCATGTCTCCCCCCGGAAATCAACACCAACACCCCCCTGAGACCATCAACACCAACACCCCCCCGGATATCAACACCAACACCCCCCCTGAGGACACGGATACCATTAACACCATGTCCCCCCCAGAAACCAACACCCCCCCTGAGACCATCAGCACCACTTCCCCCTCGGTAATCAACACCAATATCCCCCCTGAGCCCATTTACACTGCAACCCACCCTGAAATTATTGACACCCCTGCTATCGAGACCAACACAATTCCACCTATGTTGCCAATTAATGCTCCCCCCATTAATTACTCCAGTCCCTTTGGCACCCAAGTTACCACCAACATTACAAAGGCCAACACCCCCCTACCAACCTTACCTGGGACCAGTACGGGTTTTTGCTTGAATACATCAGCTCAAACCTTCATTTCCTCTACCACCTTTCATTCGGAAAGCAGTTCCACATCGGGACAAACGCATTTGTCTCAGCAATGTCAGAATCCTACAAATTTATCAACAGGTTTCCCTGCATTTGCAATGCCAATGGGATCAAATCTGCCAAGAGTGGCATCCAGCTATTATAGCAACCACAATCAGACCAGGAGCAATTTGTCAACCAGTCCTATGTATACAACCCCATCTGGACATCAACCCACAGTCCCGTCGATTAATACAAGACCTTCCCACCAAGATTTCACCATTCGTCTAAAAAGGATGGCCCTACCCACATTATTCGGACTTAGGAAAGACTGGCCAGAGTTCAAGGCAGTCTGGAAGTCGATGGCTGAGTCTGCAAGTTATAATAAAACTGCATTAGCACACGAACTTAAGAACTCAGTTAAAGGAGAAGCCAAACACCGCATCAAATCTGTTTTTGTCACCAAGCCCGAAGCTTACGACATCATGTGGGAAAAGCTAGAGTGTCACTATGGAGATACCACTGCCAGTGTACAAGCTGCTTTGGAAGATCTTCAAAGGCTAAAACCTGTAAAAGAAGAAGATTATAAAGCTCTGGTTGAATTAGTGGATGAAGTTGAATCTGCCTACAGTCAATTGGAAGAGCTCAACCAGCTAAACACTTTAACCATGCGAGATGTAGACAACCTAACTGATTTGTTACCTACCCATCTTATAGTCGACTGGAGACGAAAGTATCTTGATTTATCGTCTGCGGAGAAGCTTCAACCATTTACTCCGCTAATGAAGTTCCTAGACAGAGAACGTTCAGTTGTGGCTCGTTTAGCAGAGAATCAGCATTTTAAGAAAAGAGGAAATGACAATGCAAGAGGAGGATACAGCAAAACCTATCATGTTGAAAGAGGTGCAAAACACGGAAAAAGAACCTACTACAAGTGTGCCTTCCCCACCCACAGAAAAGACACCATAAATCACACCACCGAACAGTGCAAAGAATTCCAGAAGTTGTCCATCAGTGGTAAAGATGGCAGATGAAGCAGGTAAACGCTTGTTTCAAATGTTTTGGTAATCATAGGAAGCTTAACTGCCCCAAAAAACTCCCATGTTCCTCTTGTGGAAGTGACCAACATCATTCCCTGCTGTGCATCCCACCAAAGCTCTCAAAAGATTCCGGGGAGAAATCGAAAACTGGAGATGATGAGAACAAGGAATTAGCATCCTATACCGTAGGAAGTGATTCAATGGCATTATACCCTATCCACCAAGCGACCATTAGCGACAGTGGTAGAAAAGTGTCCGTCTTCTGTGATGGATGCTCTAGCGCAAGTTATATCACTCATCGTGCTGAGGAAAGAGTCAAAGCAAAGAAAGTTAAAAAACTCTCTCTTGACGTGACAACTATGGGAAATGTCGAGAAAACGTACAACACGTGGCAATACGAGTTTCCAATCAACACAAGTGCTGGAAAGAAAGTCACAATTACGGCCTTTGGTATGGAACGAATTACCGGACAAGTAAGCAAACTGGATCCTAAAGTTCTGGTCAAGTTATTTCCAGAATATGATCCAGAAACACTCCAGCGAAAGTCAACACACGTGGATGTCCTGCTGGGCTGTGATTACTTCGGTCTCCATCCAAAGCAAGAAGAAGCTAGATGTGGTGACAATCTAAGTATCATGAATGGAGCATTGGGGATTTGCCTCCAAGGCGCCCATCCAGATCTGATCGAAGAAACAAGATATGACACCAATCTCGCAAAGAAAATACACGATGTTAACGTGAAAGTGGAGACGTACAAGACACGCTTGGACTCACATCCAGAGTTCCATCCCAACCATACCAGAGAATGTTCTGTTAATGTATCGAGTTCCTATAGTCACCGAAAGGACGAAAGCCAGATTGACAATTTTATACAAGGAGAAAAACTTGCCACCGAAATTTCTCCACAATGTGGTGGATGTCGCTGTAATAAGTGCCCTACTGTCGGACACACTTACTCTTTCAAGGAAGAACAGGAATTTAAACTGATTCAAGAAAACCTCGAGTACGACGAAGTTAACCAATGCTGGAAAACCAGTTATCCCTGGCTCGTAGATCCACAAAGTTTACACGACAATTATCACACTGCACTTGCTACGTTAGAAAGAACTGAAAGAACGCTTAAGAAAGATGACCAATGGGCTAAGACGTACAAGCGCCAAATGGACGATATGGTCGATCTTTGTGTAGCAAGAAAACTATCATCCGAAGAAGTAAAAAGCTGGACTGGCCCTGTGTTCTATATCTCCCATTTAGCAGTTGTAAACCCGCATTCCAATTCTACGCCCGTAAGAATTGTGTTCAACTCCAGCCAAGCGCACAAAGGTGTTTCGTTAAACGCTTGTCTCGCAAAAGGTCCAGACAGCTACATGAACAACCTGGTTGGTATTCTTCTACGTTGGAGAGAAGAAAGAGTAGCGCTAATCGGAGATATTCGAAAGATGTTCAACTCAGTTTATTTGATTACAGCAGCATCGCCCACCGGACATTTACGTAATACAACGAGTCAATATGGGCGATACACCAGCCCCCGCCATCAGCACAGAAGCTGTCTACAAGACCGCGGAGTTGTATCGAGAGGATAGTCCACAAGCCGCAAATCTCCTAAAACATTCCAGTTACGTGGATGATTTGATTGACTCACGTCCAAGTAAACCCGACGCGTTAAAGATTGCCAAGGAAGCCGAGGATATCCTTGCCAAAGGAGGATTTGCTGTAAAGTGCTGGAAATTCAGTGGCGAAACACAACCTCGCGTGAAGGAAGAGTTGTTAAAATTGGACCTGCCAGAAAAGAGTGTTGAAAGCTTAGACCAAGGACTAATAATGTTAAAAGGAACTGACGAAAACTTACGAGTGCTCGGTCTGGGATGGAATCCAAAGAAAGAAACCATCACCTATGAAGTAACTTTGAATTTCAGTAGCAAGAGACGCGGAGTTCGAACCGGTCCAAACCTGCTAGAAAGCGACCTACCAAGTGCATTACCGAATGTGTTAACCAGACGAATCGTTCTTGAGCAAGTAATGAAGATTTATGACCCACTCGGACTGATTTCTCCATTTACATTGATGGCCAAGATATACTTACGCGAAACCTGGTCCCGCAAGCTCGGATGGGATGACCCACTTCCAGCAGAACTTTGCAACAAATGGTCCAATTTCTTCACTGCTCTTTTCAAACTTCAGCGTTTGTGTTTGGAGCGATGCTTACGACCTGGGAATAGTGATGGACGCCCTTGGTTAATAATCTTGAGCGATGGTAGTGATCTCGCGTATTGCTTTGCAGCTTACATTCGATGGAAATTGGATGATGGTAGCTACTGGTGTAGGTTGATCATGGCGAAGTGTCGTATTGCTCCAATCAATAAGTTATCTACCCCTCAGATGGAGTTAAACGCAGCTGTTCTGTCGAAAAGAGGAAGAAAGGTCATCGAGAAAGAAATGAGGTTCGACTTCGAGAGAGTTTTACAAATCGTGGACTCAGAAATAGTCTTGAGTATGATCCACAAGACAAGCACACGTTTCAAAGTTTACGAGGGGGTACGAATCGGAGAAATCCAAGCAGCAACTGGAGGAGATCTGACTTGCTGGGCTTGGATGTCTGGCCAACATAATACAGCTGACTGGTTGACACGCGGCAGAGCACCAGAGGAGCTGAACAACGATTCTCATTGGTGGAATGGACCGCCGATTCTATACCGACCGATAGAAGAATGGGGATTAAAGTTTAACCCAAGGAAAGAACCACTCCCCGGTGAAAAGAAAGTCCATGTTGTAGCAGCAGCGAGCGTAGAGGCATTGTTGATCGACTATGAAAGATTCAGCAATATCAACAAAGCTATTTGGGTCGTCGCCAGATTGCTAAACATTGCGAAGAAGAAAAGTTTTAAAGGCGGAAGGACTCTGTCCATCTAGGTTAAGCAATTACAAGAAGCCGAGAACTTTATTGTTAAAGAAGTTCAGAAATCAATTGAAAGTGAACTGACAAAAACTGATCGCAAATGCAGAAAAGGTGGTCGTTTCGCTTGTTTGAATCCAGTCCAAGATGAAAGTGGACTTTGGGTAGTGGGACAGCGCCTGGAGAACAAAAATCCCATGACAGTGGATTCTTCGCTGCAAAAGCTATTGCCCTACCGACATCATGTCACCAGACTCTTCATGCAACGAGCTCACACTTCTGGTCATAGAGGTCGTGATGCAACCTTAGCACGATTCCGTCAACTCTACTGGGTAACCCAAGGAAGCCAACTCGCTCAATCAATCAAGAGTAAATGTCAGATGTGCAAGCTACGCGAAGCAAAGTTCCTCGAGCAGCAAATGGGACAGCTACCGAAAGCAAGATTGAAACCACCTCCAGCTTTCAACCACGTTATGATCTATCTTTCAATCACGATAGACCTTTTCGGACCCTACTCGGTTCGTGGAGAAGTACAGAAAAGAACAAGTGGTAAAGCGTACGGAGTAATCTTCACAGATCTAGTTATGAGAGCAGTCCACATTGAAGCTGTGTTCGGGTACGATACCGAATCATTCCTAATGGCCCTCAGCAGATTCGTCAGCGTTCGTGGTTGGCCCGAAATCATATATAGTGATCCCGGATCACAACTAATTGGTGCGGAAAAAGAACTCACGGAAACCTGGAAGAGCATTGACCGACAATCCCTACATAAAAGTGGCACAGAGAATGGATTGACCTGGATCTTCGGCCCCGCTGATAGCCCTTGGTGCCAAGGAGCTGTAGAATCCCTGGTGAAGAGTGCCAAGAGAGCTATTCATTTCGCAATCAATAACCAACGTCTATCAGTCCAAGAGTTCATGACGGTGTGTAGCGAAGCCACGAACCTCCTTAATGAAAGACCGATTGGCATGGAACCCTCCCGAGCGCTGATTCCGAATTAAATATCCTTACTCCCAACAGCTTGCTACTGGGCAGAGCAACGGCGAAGAATCCTGGTGGATGGCAGCCTAACGGTAATAATCCAGGAAAGCGTTATCATGTTGTCCAGATCGTGACAGACGAGTTCTGGAAAAAATGGACGGAGTTATACGTCCCAGCCTTGGTTATTCGTCGCAAGTGGAATAGAGCCAACCGTAACCTGCGCCCAGGAGATGTTGTAATAATCGCCGACCGTAATACCTTGCGAGGAGATTACCGTTTAGGTACAGTATAGTACAAGAAGTGTTTCCCAGTCAAGACGGAAAAGTTCGTCGAGTAAATGTCATGTACAAGAATTTTCAAATTGTAGAAAAGGTACAAAAATACAAAGGACATAACGAGGCTGTCAATCCTGTCATTGTGTCACGAAGTGCTCAGCGATTATCGTTATTAGTACCAGTGGATATGGATCAAGACCAGGAAACCAAGTCGGAAGCAAAAGAGAGTGTATGAACGGACAATGACATTATATAGTATTGAGTGAACAATGCATTAAAGAAATTTTCATTCAGATTTTAAGATGCGATCGCATCAACCCCAGTCCTTCCGGTGTATTGGGTTGTAGACAATAATCTCTGCGATCGCCTTTTGGACGATGTTTATTTACGTTTCGTTAGAGCATGCGCATGAGAGCAAATATGGCGTGCGAAGGAAAACAGTGTTTTACCTACATCTACTATTTTGTAATTTTCCATATATTTTGATAATTAAAGTGAGTTGAAACCTGTTTTCGGCCACATTTACTGGCAATCCCAGTACAATTGCATAGCATGAAAAATGACTGAAAATGACCGTTTGTAATCTAAAATGACTGAAAATTGCAAACTTCGCAAGGTTATATTATCCGCATTTTACAACATTTCGCAACGAAACTTTGGAATATTACTAATTTTGTGATGCTCTTTCAAGCTGTAATGAAATTTTTGTCTAGACTTGTTTAGATCAAAATTTAGTCTGTTACGCAAATGGTCAATTAGTACCCTCGCTACGCGTAATACGCGTGCTCAGGGATAATTATATACCTTTAAAAAGTATGCTCCTTCCAATGCTCCAGTTACTGCGTAAGCATAGCATGAACCACAAATACCTTGACTTCTTACGGGGTTCACGGCACCTCGATTGCGCCAATCAACTGTGGGTGGATAATAATCAAATAACGGTTCAAACGGAATCCCACCGTTGGAAATACTTTCATTTTCATCTTGCAGTAATCCTTTGTGTTTGTGTAATTCTTCGTCCGTCATGTCCATGAGATGATTTGATCGTAGTTTGTAACCCAGGTGCATACGATTTCGCGATTGAATGAATCTGTGGGAAACAATCAAGGTAATGAATACAATAGACGTTTCCCAGGATACCTTTAGAACCTTGTCTTAATTCCACGCAGTTTTACAATTGCATTTTCGAAAATGTGTAGAAATAGAGCTCATTCAAGGTTAAAGCTAATTTAACGTTGTCTTCGTCTCCGTAAGCGCGAATAGCACAATGGGTACATGAGTTTATTATTATGAGATTGTTTATGCATGCATGTTACCACTACCTATAGTTGTTATATTTTGCTAATTAAGTATATGGGCTGTTTTCCACTAACTATATACTGTATCAACGTTCTGTGATCACAGCATGAATTTTGCATAAGTTTTGAAAGATTTCTAAAATAATTTTGAGGGAACTGTGATCATATACACATAATGAGGATAACGAGCAAAACGTCTCCAGTAGCCAATTATTCCAATTCTGAATAAAAGCCAGTGTTTAAAACCGCTCATTTTGCCATTCCTGCAAACACTCAATGTAAACACTCATGGTATACTTAAACCGGTTTTCTACTATAGGCGTTTTTCTACTTTTCTAAAACATCACAAGACAAAGAAAAATTACGCTCCGCGCGCAAAATTCCGCCTAGCGGAAAACCGGCTTTAAATTAAAGAAGATACATCAAGAGTACACAAATGTAATGACGCTTTATTCTATTTCGAGTTGGACGATGGAGGGCTTATCCCCGGCCTCCACGGTGCACGGTTCACCAGAATGAACCACAGGCAGCAAAAATTGAAGAGGAAAGAGAAGTTCACCAAAGAAAGAGACTGCTGCTCCTTACCTTAAATTGTGCCTGTAGATATCCTTTCTTGTTTCATGTTCATGGTGTGACGAATAACTTTTCTTATGTCCTATTTTGAACGCATCAAACAAGAGATTCACGATTTCCTCGTAATTTCGACGTAAGATCTCGTTAACACCAAAAGACTTTTGCCAGCCTAATTTATTCCTATTTTTATCACGTAGTTTTTGTTTCCTTTTCGTCTTTTTTCTTCGTACGCTTTTAAAATTGAAAATCCGTTGAATCCGTGATTGTTTTCTGTGGCTACTTCTATATGGCGCATTCTTAGAAAGTTCATGTTTGCTTTTAGTCTTTGCTTTCTTGAAATGTCTTTCAAGATTTTTGTGAAATTTGCGCTTTGCATATTTTCGGTTATTTGAGAATTTATTTTTTCTATTTTGTTTCTTGTTTCTTTGAAATAGTTTACGCCCATGTTGCCTGCCCCTTGTGCTGGAAATGTAAGAGAAGCGTTGTTGTGAAGGTTCGTATGGATTTCCAAAATTGTTTGCAACACTCGGTTGTTTTGCGACACCTTGCCATGGAAATATTTCATGTCTTGGTGTAGTTGCGGTCTGTACGTCTGAATTGACGTAGTTTTCTGAAAAACGATCATTTGTTTGAGTCATTTTATCTTCATTTGAAAAAATTGGACGGGAGTAGGCGACGTCTTTGTTTGGGGCAGCAAAGTTGTAGTTTGGTTCACGATCCGTTTCATCGCTGTTAAAATACGGATGATAATAACTTTTATGTTCACCATCGCTCCATGATGTTTGTTCTTGAGGCAAACGAATTGCACTACTTGGATTATGGGAGAGAGTGAAGGGTGCTCCGTTTTTAGTGTGTGGCATGAATTCCAACATAGGATTTAGCTCGCCTACGGCATTTGAAAACTTTTTTGATGAAAAATCGAAGCAATCCAAGTCTAAAGACAGAGAACAGAAAGACATGCAAGTACGTCACAGAATGTTGAAATTACAGTAGGCGGGACACAAGTGGGGACCTCTGGCATTTTAAGAACGCAAGCTTGTAAAACAAGTACTTTTCAAATTTCTTACTTCGTTAGGATTGTAAAACTGTGGAAAAATGTATGCAAATCTGCTCCTTCCAACTGCTGTGAAACTTTCTCCACCTTTAAATCATATATCTATACACAAGACTTATACCTCCACCTGACCGCTACTGCCTATACACTCCTGACTTATCTAGTTCACACTCAATGATCACGACTATAACTAATATCCAAGTCATGGCATGTAACATGCAATAGCTCATTTAATTATAATTTTCGCCGAGGAAAGAGGCAGATGGAATTAAATACAAACCTACAACTGGTACGAAGCAAATGGCGGGTGCAGTTTTATAAATCCATTATTATATTATTTTTTTGAATTTGTGAGGAATGACGGGTTAATTAATACAAAACACGAGAACTCCGAAAATGAAGTTCTTCGTATTTTAGCTATCGATGTTTTCACTCGTGATCAGTAAGCATAACACTTGATGTAATAAGTCACTGGAAAACCCGACGTTGAGTTAGTTCAATAATGTATATATGTATATGTATATCGAAACGTTGGGTTTTAAATTCAATTGAATAGGAATTTGCATTCTTTTCCTTAAACCAGAGTAAAACAACACACATGTTGTTCTCCTGTCCATATGCCCTACCTGTAGGAATCTGCAATGTAGTGTAGTTAAAATCCCAAGGCTCGAACATTTCGTAGTCCAGGACATAATGATCGTAGTATGAAGACAGCAATGTATCATAGCCCATCATTTCATATCTCAATGGTTTAATAGGCTTCGTTTTCGTTGTGTATAGGATATATGTATTAACTTTGTTATAGATCTTGAATTTATGTTGCCATTTTGCTGAGTTATGACCACGTAGCATTACGTCTCCACCATACTGAAATTAAAAAAAGAAAGAAGCCATAGGCCATTCAGAGTCTCGGGATAAATTGCAGTGGAAAGATAACATGTAGCTGAGACTTAACGAATTAGGAAGTTTAGACCTACCCTGAAATGGAAAACAGTATTTTTAGGCAAACAACTGAAAAATGATTAAACAATCAAAATAAACCTCTTCCAACCATTTCTTGCTTGCTCGATCTCACTAAGGCATATGTAAGCTTATATACACCCTCTTTAAATCCTTTCCCTCTTTGGAACTAGTTTTGCCGAAAGAAAGGTAGCTATATGACTTACAATAGAAGAAAAACGACCTCATTGAGCCATAAGTCAAACATTTTAAGACAAACTCTCTACAAATTGCTCAGTAGCTGTTCTTAAAGTTACTTCACATTAAAATGTCCAACCACAACCGTCTTTATAATGGTATTTGGGTTTTCCTATTCCCATTTTTTTGTCTTTCATTCCCAGTCCCAGTAAACGAAATCCCATTTACCTAGCCCAAAAATAGGTAAATCCAGTTCCCATTCACCCCTTCAGGACCCCATGTGACTGTGAGTTCCCTACCACTTTTATATTACCTTGAAATAATGAGATGCAGGGACAATACTTTGTGCTTTGACTGGAAATCGTTTTGTTCCTCGCCGATGTAAACATCCACGATAAGTCTTCTGTGTTCTTTCGGAATATTCAGGTACCACTTTACAGGCAAAACCATGATCGCCTAGCAACTCCTTTTGATACGTTTGGTCCATTCCTTCGGTTGGAAATAAAGTATGAAAGAAAAGTTTATTTATTAATGTACCCCTCCGTATTGAGCCACCCCTCCCTTTCTCAACGAAAAACACATGATTTTTGTACTTCTTCGATATATTAATTGGCCTTGACGTTCTCATTATATTACGGAGTTCCTTTGTTTAGTGTTCGGCCAATTCAATAAAAGTATTTCTACTAATGCCCCCCTCGCCCCCACTCAAATATGTGCCTCAAAGGAATAAGTGGCGTCCAAAGTGGGGAGCGTGGTGTTGGGGTGTGACACACCACTGGAAACATCTTGTCCGCAAAATTAAGGATTTTGTCATCGATTTTAACATTGTTCGTTTTTAACTTTTGTTGTCGTTAAATACAATACCACACCCCCTGGGGTTAACGGGCCCTTACTAACCTCCATAATAGTCGATCCTGCTCATTTTGTGTTCTGCTGAATACCATGCTTCAAACGGTTCAACTATATTTCCGTAAGGCAACGAGAGCACTCCCTTAGCGTGATGGTCTTGAGGGAAATGTAGTACTTCATCTGCGCTGATGTGGACACGTTTCTTTGGACGTGGTCTTACTGATCTCTTTCTGATCCTTGAATGCTCATTTTTTATTGTCGCTGGTCCAGTAAAAGAAAATATTGCACAGCAAATCCCTATAGATTCAGAAATGCATTGCGTGTTTAGTAATAAGGTCGGTTTACACGACACGCGTTTTGGGCAAGGCATTCTGTACTCTTTTAAGGTTACAGAACACCTTTGAGTGTTAATTTTGCCTATTTTTTTTATTGGTTTCAATGAAAGCATTAGACTAGTTCTACTATATGACCAAGTTTGAACGAAAAATGTTGAAAACTCGCAGAGTTATTTAATAAAATACATTTCGCTGCAATAAGAAAAACATTGAAAATGTAATATTCAAATTCAATTTTCTCCCGAAAAATTTTACGGTGATTACTGATTTTCAAACGAGTTGTGCTCCTGCGCGTTTTAACCAATTTTTCTCAAATTTTCACAGGACATAGCTACATACGTCAGTTTCAAAATTCTGTTCGGCCTTTTTTTAATTTTGGATATTTTAAAAATAAAGAGCAATATACTCAAACAATTCAGAAAGATATTGCAGTCGTCAAAGAAATCGCCATATCAGCGGAATGACGAAATAAACAAAAATTTCCGAACACAATTTTTTAGAACTATTTTACTGTATAAAAATGACATTTTCATAAATATAACTTAAAACCAGCAGGAGCACAACTCAAAAGCGTAACGGTACCGCGATTTAAGATTTTCCTGAATAATTCTTACATTATTTTATTGTTTGTTAATTTTACAACTTTACCATATTTTGCATGCACTGGAGAACATTTGGTGAAAATTTGATGAAAATCGGACTGATATTGAGTGCGCAGTAACCTTAATATGATGGGCTGGGCACACCACACTTCGGAAAACGGCACCTCTAATCTCTACTCCACTACTAAGCTTGGGTATATTATGATGGCATAATTTCGAGCGCAATAGGAGTTCAGGAGCATGATAGACACTTTCGGGCATTGTCCGGGCATAATAGGCCGATTCGAACATTAATTTTTAAAAATAATAAAGTAATGTTTGGCGTTCGGGCTACAGTCTAGAGAACGAAACAAAGGAAGAAATAGTCTAAAGAGAGGGAGTTCGATCGGGCCAGCCAGCCCAGAGTTCAATGGTCCGGGTTAGGCCGTCAGGGTCCCGGGCACCAATAAAACAATTAAAGATGGCGGAATATGAAAATGAATTTTCCTCGAGCATAATTCGAGTATAATAGGCTGTTTCACGAGCATACTAGGTTGTTTTAACGAGCACTGCCTCCGGGCATAATAGCCATAAATTGCTGAAAAGTGTAAAAATATTTCGTTTTTTTTTGTCTGTTTTGTTATACTAAAACATATATTCTAACTGCGTAATTTATATATACTAAAACAATTATTCGGTGAACAGTGCAAGGATGTACTATTCTTGCAAATCGTCATTGGTACAGAACCCTAAAGGCCCCGATGTGAACGAGTTATGAATGTTCAGATGGGGGTACATATACTCAGAACATTCATAACTTTATATCTAATCGTTCACATACGTCAGAAGACGAAAATCGCACTAGAAATCGCAGCAAAAATTGCAAGTGCAAACGGGCGTGAAGGCAGTGTCACCTACTGAACGATGTGATTTAGACGGCGTGAAACTTGAAAAGTTCAAACTCTCTCGTTGCATGGTCAAACCTTTCCCCGTTTTTCGCATGGATATCATATGGCTCATTATATGATAAAAATCAGCTTAACTTACACCGAATCTAATTCCATTCGGATAAAATTTATTACAACGACGGGCATAAGATCACATCGCTCAGCAAATGACACTGTTATCAGTTATAAAGTTGTCATGGCTTACCTACAAAAGCCAACAGCATACACATTCTTCTTCGACAAAGCAGGGCAGAACGACATGATCTAAACAGCCAAACTAAACCTTGTCTAAACGAAACCAACATAAACTAGACCGGTAGGCATCGAATATGTCATCTACGTCTTCGTGCTGCACAAGTATGTCGGTGAGAATTCCCATGCAATTGTGAATTTGATCCGATAAACAACAGAAGAACATTCATCCCAGAATGACACAGAACCAACATGTCGTCGTCATTTTATACAACAAAAGACCAAATCATAACAGTATTATTTAACGATATATTGTTTTCAATTATTATTAATATTGCCTTATTGGGATATTTATTCAGACGTTTGAGTTTTGCCTTATTTTGGTAAGTGACATGACAAGTTGATCCCAAAGCAACCGATGATGCACGTCTCAGAATATCAAAATACTTAAAAAAAATGAAACATATGAATATATCTATATTCTGTGGACATAAATAAATGTATTGTATTTGGACATTGATATATTCCTTTCTTTTCCAATATACTATTTGGTATGTCACAAACAGTACATGTATATATCTGTATATTATTATATACAGGCTGTCATAGTTCGGTGTCATGTTTTTAAACCATCACCTGTTTGCCACCTGCATGCCAACCGTCAGGTGAATAAGATGAAAACAGACAATATACACTTAATGTCTGCTTCCGAGGGAAATAGCCAGTTTTGTTTTCCTTAACGTCTCAATGTTTCCAGAGACGAACGACCGTATTCTAAAAGCTCACTCACACTCAATGAGTGGAAGTTCAATCTGAGCTTTTCTTGAGTGTTAATGCTGTTTTTGAATAGCTAGAGGGTGAGTAGTCACATAGTAAGGTATGACACTAGCCCTCCAGCTATTCAAAAACACTCAAAAGAAGCTCAGATTGAACTTCCACTCATTGAGTGTGAGTGAGCTTTTAGAATAGGGGCGGAAGTCTCGTTGTGTGTTTTTGTCTTGTGGTGTATTTTTCTTCTGTTATATACTGTACATGTTATTTATGTACTGTACATGTTACTGGTTAGCTCTAATACACGCGTGTGTGTAGAATTTCCACTCGATAATTTCCATCTACAAAACCCTCCAACGCGTGATCACAAATATGTCAATCACACTTAGCTAAATAACAATAAAAAGTGCAGGATGGTTCTGAAATAGAACTGAAACACTGAGCGTCCTCTAAGACAAGCGTTAAGTCGTCACGAACATATTTCGTGCACTTAAAATTGGACAAGACTCGCTACCAATCCCCGTTGACTCGATATAGCTGAATGGGTAGAGCGGCGGTCTATAGATACCTGAAGTGCGAGTTCAAATCCGAGCCAACCAATTTTTCGTTGATCTATTGCAGTGTCAGAATAATATTAAAGTGCAGCTTGCTGTCCCTTGTTTGCATGGTTGCTAGATGAGAGACGTGTAAGATACGCGGTGATAGGCAGTTTTTTCAGCTTTCCAGAATATATTTTCAAATATTTCTATCTGCTACTATACTACTAATAGTCCATGGGCTCTGACGAGCCCGTTGGTGCCTCATTGACAGCTGTTCACAACCATCTTCCACTGTTCGCGATCATGTACAATGTCCATCAAGTGGCGCAGGGACATGCCCTTCCATTCTTTGATGTCGTCTATCCATGATCCTCTCGGTATGATTGGTCCCATCGACCAAACCTAGCATCATAACCTTTAGTAATCGATCGTCATTCATTCTGCATATGTGTCCAAACAGCCGTGCCTTCCTCCTTTTGATTGTGGTCACAATATCATCTGTCATTTGCACACGCTTCCTGATCTCATCGTTCGTCATAAAGTGGAACCACTTCATATCTAGTAGCTTTCTGCAGGACTTCATCTCAAATGCGCGCAGTCTGCAGTTCAACGTCCATGACTCGGAGACATACAGCAGCACACTGAAAACACAGACACGCAGCAGTTGCAGTTTAGTTCCTAGGCCCACGTCCCCAGCATCGCATAGCTTATTTAGACCAGCCAGTACACGTTATGCCTTTCCAATCCTTCGGCTAATCTCCTACCAAGATACTCATACTCAATGGCATTTTCTAGTTGACATCTTTTAGGACTAGTCGTTTTACAATGCCCTGTTACCCCATCACCATTGTTTTTGTCTTCAGTGAGTCGATCTCAAGTCCAGCTGCCACGGCCTGTACATTCAACGTGTCCAATTTATCTTGCAGGTCATTATGTATGTCCGATAACATGTCAATATCATCCGCATATACTTCAGGTTATAATTCACTTGTTGTTCATGTGCAGGGTGCAGGAATTGTTTTTCAGGGTCAGGTCTTTCATAGTAACTTGCCATCATATTTGTCGAATGAAATCGAAAGGATTCAGAGACGAGCAATGCATGTGATCTTTCCAGACCTCAGTTATATACGGTACTGATGCGCTTGCAGAGACTAAACTTTCCAAACTTGGTGAACGACGGGACAAATCGAGTGATTTATTTAGTAATATTGTTAAGAATGATAATCATAAATTAGCCTATCTATTACCTCCTAGAGTTAGTGTATCTCGGAACATGAGGAATCCTAGAACTTTTGAAATTCCGAGGTGTAAGGTAGATCGGTCATATAAGTACATTTCACTGATATTTTTAACTTAGATTCGTAATTTTATATTTTTAATTTTTTCTTAATTAATCTTGTAAATATAACATAAATTTTACGCAATTCATGCATTGCAAGAGTTTTTCAGCGCAATTAAATTCTTGACTGCAAAGATGGTACCTTTTGTAGTAATAAACGATTTATGTATAATAATAAGGTAATCCAACTTTAGATGTTCGCGTGCATGCGTTAGACGAGTTTATCGATAAAAAACTTACCCAATGGGCAATGTAAAAATTGGCTGCCCAATGATACGTTTCTTGTATCATTATAATAAAAAATGACCGTAAAAAATTGCCGGGTAAATCGTTGGATATTGGGTGTAAAATTCTTATATATATATATATATATATATATATATATATATATATATATATATATATATATATATATATATATATATATATATATATATATATATATATATATATATATAAATAAGAGTTTTAAAAATTCTAAATTTCATGAATTTTAATTTTAAAATTTTAATCTGAAATTCATAAATTTTAATTTTAAAAATTAATATCCCTGGACACTATATATATATAGGCACTATATAATAAAAAATAGAAGGCCTAGATCTATTTAGGCCTTCACAACATCCTTTGCATGCAAGTCGCCTACACCTGTTGTAATTCCCACAGTATATAATGCATTCTGGTTTCATTTTGTAAGCATGGACGTGATAATGTACAAAGAATATATCTCTACCACAACTGAAATCTTACATGCAGTTCTTTCCTTACATTATTATTATATCCTTGTATAAATTAATACAGTACATTTTGTTGGAAGGGTAATTTCATGAAATCTTACATTATTATTGTTATATCCTTATATAAATTATACAGTACATTTTGTTGGAAGGGTTATCTCTTATAAAGTGAATATTACATTAATTGGACTTTCCCTTATTCAAATGGAGTGAACAATCTGATTCGATTGCCAACAGGGTCACAAGTTTCCCAGTGGCCTGTATCAATAGATGTGAGCGGTTGATGTAGTGCGGTGGATACTTTCTCGTGATCCGCGATGCGAACACATATTGTTACAACGTTGCTCGATGGATCGGTATGGATGGTTGAATTATAAATTAACTGCAGCTCCAAATGGGTTGCAATGGGATAGATTATGTAGCTTGTTCCCGTTTTGTCAGAACGGCAGACAGGAGTCTTTCCAGTTAAAACACGATAGAACTCAGCCATCTCCTCTTTCTTTGTAGAGAACATCACTGATATCCGCACTCCTGGAACATCGTTGCCACTTATTAAACCAAGGGGTAGAGCGGAATGATTTTTCAACAAGAAAAGTTGTTCAAATGGAACTCGCACAACATCAGGAGGCTCGTATCTTACCCACGGTGAATCCTTACCAGATAAGATAGCATTGAACTTCTCAGCATTCCTTTGTGCGCGCTTGGAGAACAGTAGTGTAAGACTCACAGAAGGTTTAAGGCACACGGGAGGAATATTTGGTTTCAGATCGGGTACATTTCCTTCGCGGAGACGAAGATAATTAAAGGAACCACAAAAGGTGACTAACACATTCGAAAATTCCTCCTGGATTGTTTCTCCGTTAGATTTTGGTGTCGGCAACTCTAGGAAACAGCTTGGCAACGGATCAAGAGACAATGCTGCAAGAAATACAAATTGTAGGGTGTAAAATTCACAAGTAGCAATGGCTGTCAACATCGCATTTAGCAAGCTAGGAGAGAAAATAACGGTAATTCTTCTGGATAGTTGAAGTAGTCTTATATTTTGTTGGAATAAATAGAGTCGAGGGACGTTTAATTTGCTCCGTGTTATATAAGTGCCAACATTTCTTTCTAAAAACCTAAATACATGTATATACCTGACCTAATTGACCTAAAGCAATTAGTCGTGTAATGCGAACGCGTTATGACTAACGCCAGTCTAACGGTCCAATTAAGTTGTGTCGGTGTCACAGTAGATACTATGAGGGTGCGTTAATTCGCGTACCAACGTGCCGAAGGTACGCCAAGATTATGGTCTGGTACTTCTTTGCTTTTAGCCGAGTACCACGTTTGCTTTTAGCCGAGTACTACCGAGGTACACGGAAATTTGCTATTCGCGTACTTACATTTTCCTTCTAGTAATAACTAGCAAACCTTCCATGAAGGTATTCAAAACCGTCAATAATTTTAGCTGTACATGCATGTAAATCGCACACATCTGACATATTTCGGGATCGAACAAGGTTGTTAATTTTGACGTCTACGTTTTTGAAATGTAACTAAAGGGGACACGATCCACGGGGAGGGGGGGGGGGGGGGGGGGCTGTGACACGATCGGTAGGTACCTGTACTTCTCAGGTGCAGGTTACATGTATGATGTTTACATTCATCATAATGTTTTTGTATTTATAATTATACTGCAGTGTACATTCGTTTACTAAACGTCCTTACCTTCTAAATGTGTGACAACAATGTTTTGAATTTTGTATCCGTTTCCTTCAAGAATCTTATCACCAAGTACGGTATAGCTGCTGGCTTCCATATGCAAGATCGCAAGGTTTGAAGAATGATATAAGACCACTAAACCATTACAAACATCACTCAGAAGTGATGGGAGCTTCTTTGCTTGTTCATCTCCAATTTCGTCTTTGAATGTCAGCAACGCTGCCACTCCATCATGATGATGAGGAAAATTGCGACCAAGCTTTTTAAGGATTCCTTGTGAAACCTGGAGAAAAAAGAAACCACATGTTAACAGGTGCTAATAAAAAGTAGTTATTATACAAACAATTAACAGATATAAAATTACAAGAAAATTACAGAGTTTTCTGAACAAGAAAACAGCAAGTTATTTGTTTTTAATTTATTTAGCAATATTAATTAAGAGGAATAAAAACAGAATGAAAATACTTCCAGCCAGGGTGCATTCCATGTAAACTCTATGACAAGGTCAATTTATAGATACAAGTACCGGTACTTGTTTTGTCTAAAAGTATTAAATAATTATATAAAATGTTTGAGTTTTCATATGCTACGCACCTCGTCGGCTATCAAATCTACGATTCGAGTTCGCAGATCAAGCGGTCGCTTTCAAAACCTGCAAATTACTATAATAGAACCACAAGACAAGTATGCTCCCCCGCCCCTAAGGATGGCCAAAATTTTCGATGTGGGGGGAGTCGGGGAGTGTAGAATTTCTGGAACAAACCCTTTGCACACCTGGGGCCGGTTGTTCAAAGCTGGGTTAGCTTAACCCTAGGTTAACCTAAAATTCAAAGCAAACTTTCCAACAGCCTGTTTATAAATTTGGAAATATTTCCTTAGAGATCTTGTCTGAATCAGTGGGAGTTTTCTTCTCTGAAGTTTTGAAATAAACAGTGCATGTCTGTTTATTTCAAAACTTCAGAGAAGAAAACTCCCACTGCACATGCACAAATACACAAACTGAAACAGCAGGTTAAATTTTAACCCACGGTTAGCGCTGATCAAGCTTTGAACAACCGGCCCCTGCAGAAGATTTCAAAAATTTAAATATAGGGTACAGTCCGGTCTGTGCATGCGCACATACTAGGAGTCTCTTGCCATGAATGATATAACACTTTAATTAATTTAGTTTTTTTATTCCATTTTATGTTATTGCAAAGCCTGATTGTTGTATCTCGATCATTTATTATACTGCAGAAGCATGAAAATATAAATAGTTGGCGAATAAAGTTCATGATATAATAACTACAGTGAAACAATTTAATTTAATTTTAATTAACAACTTTATTGGAACCACAATATAAAAAGATAAAAAAGAAATCCATGCAAACAAATGGCCCAAAAGGGAAAATGCGAACGGGAAGGTAACTATGACCCATGCAAGACATTTCCCTCACAACAATATAGAAAATATGGACACATTGTACTATTTATCACAATGGGTCATTCCAGAAAAGATCCACACTCCCCCCACAGAGGAAATTTCTGCCGTCCAGAGGGGGAGGGGAGAAAAAATTGTTTCTGATAATAGGAAATGTATTAGGATATCCGAAGGGGATAGGGGGGTTAACTTGCAATTTCCTCTGTGGGGGTGGTATGGATGTTTTCTGGAATGACCCAATACAATAAACAACACACAAAAAAAGCAGAACAATCAAACAGAAGCGAGTGATAAATAGTAGAATGATATAACTCAGCTTTGTAAGCGAGTAGGAAACAATATCATCGCGGAATATCATCACTCGCCTCTGTTTGACAGTCCGTATTAACGATTACTTGATTGCCTATGGCAAGAACAGTCAGGCATGAAAGTCCATGTGCAAGGCATCGACAAGTCAAAAGTTCTATTCAGCTCCAATTTAAACAAGTCCTTAATTGACCTTTTAAAGAGCGAAGAGAAGTTTCAAACTAGAGAAGTTTCTCGGAGGAGCAACGAGAATGGTCTTGTTCCAATGCTTGATGATGCGGTTGAAATAGGATGACTGAAAGGTGCTGGTTCGACAGTATGGTGTTTTCAGTGTTCTCAAATGACTTGACCTGGTTCGACCATTATTGACAAAGGAAACAAAGTTTGAAATGTCTCTGTCAATGTATCCATGTGAGGCCTTGTAAAAGAATATTAAGTCTTTCAACTCCCTGTCATGGCAAAGCAGTAGAAGATCTAGTGTCACTAGCCGATCCTTGTACTCAAAAAAAGGGATTTGATTGGTCAAAAAGCAATTAAAATTAATAATTATATTAATTATATTATTGGTTAAACAAGCAAGTTGATTGGTCAATAGCCGTGCAGGATCAGGCTATCCTGCACAAGGAATTAAAATGCCTTCACAGGATTTTTGCGGGATTCTCAAAATGTCATTGTTTCACTGTAGTTATTTTATAAACCAATTACCAAATGGTTTTCCTAGCAGGATAGCGTGATCCATGCACTTGGGATGTTGCTTGATTTCGGAAAGCGTAAAAATACACTCGCCTGCGGCTCGAGTATTTTTACGCTTTCGGAAAGTCTTGCGACATCCCTCATGCATGGATCACACAATCGTGCACGGAAAACCATTCGGTATTTCTTTAATATTTTGAATACCGAAATGTAAACAAAGGCTTTGTTTACATATATAGAAAACATCAAAACTGATTCGATAATAAATTCCATACTCACATGGTACAAACCTGGCTTTCCATTTGAACGATATGAATTTGAGGAATAATATAAATATTTAATTTGAGGAATAATATAAATATTTAAATCCTCTCAGTCAAAATATTAACCCTAACCCTAAACCATGAGAATTTAAGAAATTAAACATTTAAATCCGTGAATTAAAGTTGTCTAAAAGCCCACTAACCATTCTCAACCTCCTTGTTCCTTTCTTGACAGCATGATTTTCGGAATCGATAAAATACTTGGGCAAATATACTGAAGATCCACTTTCAAAATTGATAACGTGTTTAGAAACACTATCCACTTCATCCCGCTCTTCTGGCACATCTTCAAGTAAAAATCTTAGATTTCGATCTCCTTCTAATGCATTCTCGTGTGCCATATCATAAATAAATAGCGTTTTTAAATAATAAAATGATGGACTTTCCTTGGCCTTCCTTCTTGTAGAAGTTTTGTCTGCAAAAGATGAAAAGATGAAAATGCAAAAACAATTAAAAAATAATACTGAAAATTGAAATGTGTGTTTCCATGTATGATGTAATAAATTTCCTTAATTAACCTGCGAACAGGCACAACATTAGGAGGGAATTAATATGTTTGTATTTTTCTAGAACTGTTTCTTCAATAATTTTTATTTAAAACGTTTATCAACCTATTTAGTTGGTGAAATTGTGAAATACGAACTATAGAAAAAGAATCACACAGGAAAAAAAAAATTGGTAACTTCTAAAAATACTAGACGATCCTGCCAGGACTCGAACCTGGAATCTCCTGATCCGTAGTCAGGCGCCTTATCCATTGGGCCACAGGACCACTACGCATTCTCGCTCTAATTTATATCTATATACCGTAATTATACTTGATTGTTGCAAATAAACATTCCACGTGGGAAGAAAATTTATAAAGTACTTCAATACTTCATGTTCGTAAAATACATATTTTGTGGAAAGAGAACATCGCTATTTAGTCGCTATTCGGCTTTCATATAAATTCCTACTACAGAAAAGAAATAAAATGAATAATTCAGCACCAGAAATTGCTATGGATGCAGTGCTTAAAGGTAGCGAGAAGATGCCCGAAGGTTCAAAGACAGTTAAAGGGTACGATTTCAATAATGGATTGGATTATGGCGCTTTGTTGGCTACATATAAATTGTCAGGATTTCAGGCGACAAACTTCGGAAAAGCTGTTGATGAAATTAACAATATGGTAGATATGTCAATATGTCACCCTAAACGTGAATAGAATAGTCTCTCATTCTTTGACCCCTTTTTAAAAGTGATCACCTTATATGCTCAATGAAATCGATCATCGTTAATGAATTGATATCTAGCAATTATTGGCACATTGCATTTTTATACCAACCAACCCCCCCCCCCCCT